AATATTAGAATGATCATTAATGTTATTAATTTTATTTTGTATGTTATTAAATAAATAGTTATTAATGGTTACCAAATTCTATTATACACAATTTATAACTCAAAAAGCTTATTAAAAAGTTATGAGGGAGTATTCACCCTTTTGCCATGTTGTTTATGCTTTCGCAATATATTTTACTATTTATTACTCTTTAACCATTTAAAAAGTAAGCTTTGTTTACAAAATATATTGTTTATTTCTTTATTCCCATTAAACATTAAAAAAAATGTTCGTTTGTTTTAATGACACTTTTATGGAGGTTTGTATGTATAAGGTCTTTATTTCATAAAGGATATATTAAATACGATTTAACTATTAATGAGTGGCACCTGGGTCTAACCAACATTAATTTATCCCCACACATATCTTCCTTTCCCTCGTACTATGTGTTAACGCATTTTCAGGCGATGTTTGTAAGGACCCATTCTATAAAATGTAGGGTGGAATTAGTGAACTATTCAAGATGTAACACGATGGTTGAACGCACTGCTGCAGATCTACACATAAACGATACTCCAAGTACTAACAACAATGAATAGCCACAGCAAATGATCACCAAGGTTCACAATGTAATGTGAGAAACAATGCCCGGCTTGTGCCTAGTGACATAGGTAAAAAATCACCATAAATATCGATGCAAGCGATATTTGATTGTGTGTTAGGTGATATTTATTACGCATTAGTAAGAAATTAGGTTCACACGTACGTTTAGTAGAGGGTGCTCATATATATAAATGTAATTTATAATGGATATTAACTATTCATAGTCATCTTGTCGTGTTATGCCTAACTGACTATATTAGTTTTAAAACCTTCAATATCTATTTAAATTAACTTTTGCTGAAGGACTGGTTTTTATTAATTTGTTTTGTTTTAGTATTTAAATTTATTGTCATATGTTGAATTGTTTCAAAATGTAAATAAAGTTTAGTTTGTTGTTTTGTTTAGTAAAGAACACAAGCTCAGATTTATTCTGCTAAATTTAATCTAGCATTTTGTCATTTCTTAAATTAACATCGTCCGTGATATCATTATTATTGTGAATCACGTACAGTGACGACGACAATCTAAATAAACAATAAATTTATAAAATTAGTTCCTCCACTTCTAGTGATTATAATTATTGCAAAGTTAGTTATCATAACTAAATTGGTTAACATGTTATCAGTCCTAGAGTGTTCTTAAAATTTTTCACAACATTTACAAATTTCAAAAGAAGGAAAATTTGAAGTCGTGATCTGGTAGTAACTATTACATTTAATTTAAACGATTTTGGAATACATCATAAACCATTAAGCGCTAACACTGTGTTGTTTTTATTTTATTCTTTTATTTGTTTTGAATGCAGTGATGCGTAAGTAATATTAGTGTAACAATAACAGCTGATCTAGAATCAGAATTTACTCAACAGGAAAGGTCCTAATGGAGTCCTGAGGGAAGATGTTTTGGAATCGGCTTAACAAACTTTCATATCTTCTCTTACTCGAGGCATTATCCTGTAATCCTCATCTGGAAGTTGTAATTGAAAACTTCATAAACTTTATAATGCTGTCCAGTTTTAGCAGAGTTTAAAAACTTATAAAAGTATAGTGTCCAAAATTAAGGACATTTATATTTTTGTATAAATTATTAATTTTTGACCAGTCAATAGTGTTTCAATACGAGGTTAATAACTGGAGTATCTCTTGATATGTATATGAGAATCCATTATAATACCAATGATCTATTACAATATACTAGCTGTGTTACCCACGGGCTTCACCCTATTTGACTTCATAAGTATTAATTAAACTATTGATTGGTTAAGGCTGAAATAAACAAAACAGAATACAGTAATACGAACAAATAATCACACCTGATTTTAATAAGGTAATAAATTGAAAGAATAACAAACAAATCAAGGAATTAAGGACAAATAATTGAATTAAGAAAGAAATTGGAAGCATATGGAAAACAATTACGACCTTAAAGGGATATTTATGAAATAATGGATAGTTTTGCGCAAGGTTTCTCGCCATGACGAACATTTTAAGTACATGGCTTATGGGGGTGTGACTTGTAGTTTTCTCAAAAGTTTATGGGTACTTTGGGATTTATACATGGATTTTTTTCCTACGGACGTTTTTTAAACTAGCCGTTTCCATTCAGATGAGAGAAATGAAAAGATTCACTTTACAGAAATGTTTACTTAAAAACGGTCATAGGTAAAGTAGTGTACCCAACTCGCGTAATTTCTCTTAGAAGTTTTAAAGCACTCGCATAGGCTCGTACCTTAAATCTTCTACTCATCATAAAGACTATCCTTACGAGATCGTTGTGTTAACCTACCAATGACCGTTTTTATAATTGAAATAAATCTTAGAATTGAAAATATTCACTTAACAGTATTGTTTACTTAATTTGCGTTTGCAGTATTGTTGAATTACTTTGCAGAACAAGTGTGTACTAATGAGGTTCAAGAACTGAGAGAAAAGTGGTAAAATTGTAATACTTCAAACGTCAATTTATAGTTAAGACCATTTTAATTAAAAACAATGAGTGAATGGTTGGGACAATAAGTACTGTAGTTGCATCACAATCAGTGGCAATGAGAGGTTATAAACGAAAACATAACCTCTCTTGGAGGTTGAGTAACCCAATTAATTTTTAGTAATTAAGAAACGGCCGTAGGCAGAGTAGTGTACGCAACTAGCGTAGTTAGCCTTTACGCGATCGTTGCGTAAACTACACTATTGGCATATTTACTAATTCAAACACATGCAGAATAAATGACTTCATGTACAGTCGCACATTGTTTTCGTGAAAAGACATGATTAACGCTGGCGAATAAAGTCATAAATGTGTGGTCTCGTCGACTGCCTCAACGTTTGTAAACCTGTGGTATTGAGGTTAGACTGGTCAGTCTGGTCCACCATAGTATCAGTTATATTCTACGTTAGCTCTCTAAAGATATGTTGTTGCAAATTATAAGTCGTGTTGAGCATCGTTAGTAATTTAAATAGGGTTTTGGTAATGTATATACGGCTAAGCAAATACTGTAAACGCTTGTTTTTTACAACTATTACGTTTACTGCATATTTTCTTTGAGTATCATTCCAAAGTTGTTTTTATTTAAAACCTAATACAAATAACCATTGATATAATTGTTTTGTATTAATGTATAGCAACATTAATGGCTTTAGTTTGTTTAATGTGATCAATTTTACCCTTCACTATAAAACATACAAGAGGCATGCGGCATGCTCAGCTTAGCTTGATCAGGTTAGATTTTGGCTCCAACGTAAAAACCCACCTACAAACAGATTTGTGTTACAAAAAAGATCAAAAGAATTTTCATTAATGGAACTGTGTTTACACAAGAAAATAATTTTTCTTGAACATGCTATAACATGTTATTCAAGTTTTATCTAGCTCTTAAAAGATTGTACATGAATTTATAGCCTACAGTTAAACATAAACTTTTTAACATGTAATAGAAATACAATGGATCTGCAGTTTATATTATCTGCAGGGTTAATATAAAACAGACTACTCTAGATTGAGCTGTGTCAATTTTTACCTTTGCCCATTGCCAAACTACTAATATGCATGTTATTATCTTTCCTTGAAGAGTACATCTGAGGGGAATGACTTAAAATATCAATATTATTACGAGAATTTGTTTAATTTTGTGTGCAGCAAATCGACCCTTAAATATATATTTTTATAGGCATATTGGGTATCAATTTAAAGCTTTTTATCCTCTAGGTGTGCCTTTTGCTGGTTTGGATGATAACCCGTGAAGCCCATCGTTCTATAGGCTTTTAATATTTCAGAGTTTGTGCTGAATTCTGTTGTCAATCATCTGAACTTGTCCAAGTTTACGTTTTGTTTACATCAAAACAGATGGTCATGAATTAATCTTTCCTACAGTCACCCAACTAATAAACCCTAACCTAACTACCTAACTAATAAAAGTGGACTTCCTTGGACAGATTATTGTACAGAAAGCATTACTTTGGTACAGAGTTTTTACTTTGGAGCACACCAGTATTCCAACCAAACAACCCAAAACAGAGTGCTTTTATTATGTACGTAATCAGTGTACGCTTGAAAATAAGTTGGCAACACTTAAAGAATTACGACTACGCTGCCCTACTATGCCAAAAGGCAGTATCTACATGAAACGCCAAAATGAGAAAACATCACTCAAAGTTTGCCAACAGATTTTTCTTGTTTACTCAAATTTGGTTGGCCATAGACATTTACAGCTGGATGATTATTAATGTATTTTATCTCTAGTTTATATTAAGTAAATTATTTTTCATACGTTTTCATATATTTTTATTTTTTATTCAGTTACTTCTTTGATCATACGAATTTCAGAAGCCAAAAAGCAGTAACTACATAGTTACGTCTTTTTGGCTTCTTACATCAAGTGGTTTGCTGTTTGTTGTCATAGCAACTCTGCAGTTAAAGTTTTCTGGCTTAGATAAGATAAGGCTGATCTTACACAGTCCTTTGTTTACCAACCTAACATTTGTCCACACACATAACATCTGTACACATTTGTACATTTGTTTGTTGTTGTGTTGTTTGTTTGTGTTTGTGTTGTTGTTTAACATTTGTTGTTTATCCTTTGTTTGTTATATAGCCTAATATTTTTTAATGTGACATATTTTGTAATTGTGACCTCTATAGCCTTCTATGTGAAAGAACCTACTCACAGTAACAAATAGAACATGAAAACCATACAAATAAAAACTTCTCAAAGAAGATCGTGCAGTCCTCTTTATTAAATACCTATTCAGTCACCTATGCTTTATTAAATCACTGGTTCTGAAGGTTCATTGTCGATGTGTTAATTAGTGATAAGTATATCGACGTTGGGCGGCCTGGGCGGGCCGGGCTGGTTGGGGGCGGCACCTAGCTGTGTTGGAGGCGGCACCTCGCCACCCTCGGGGACGGCAGTAACGCCGTGGCACCTCCGTACGACAGACGTGCGTCAGTTACAGCTTCTGAATACGTAATCTTAGGTGTTAAACGGTTATAAAATAAGGTGAATTCCAACTTGAGATATTAATTTGATTTAGTTTTGTATATTGTGATGTATGTAATTGATTTTCCAATCCCCAGATGGCATACGTCCAAAATAGTTTTACCTACCCTTTATCTGGACATTTTTAATTATAAGTTAACAAGTTTTAGGCTATTTAAATTGAAAAAAAAACACTAAATATACAACGTACAATGACGAAAAAATGACACTAGCAAAATACAAAATGGAAGATTTGGAATACAATCATCGTTTTTTCTTAAAAAAAAATTCATTACTTACTGTCTATAAACATTTCGATGTAATAACATAAGGTTATTCGAATCAGCAATTAAAAAACTATCTGTTATAGATACAGAAGGAGGAGAATATAATTAGAAAATAATTTAAGTTTATAAAGTTATAAAACAGTGATAGATTTATAACCTAAACTGAAACAAAAGTTTGGAAATGCATATACCATAAAATAAAGTTACTAAAATTAAAAAATGCTATTTTAATTTCTTGCAATCAAGACAAGTTGAAGCTAGTGTTCAAGCAAAAGTAATATCAATATCTATTTACAATTTTACTTACCAACTACACATTATGGCTAATAGTTGAGTATATATATATTATACTTAGCTGTAAGAATGATGAATTCTTCTCTTAAAAACACTCACACACTTTGAAAGTTCACCTTTTAGAATAACCATTTATATTTTATCATTAAGTCTATTATTTTTCAAAATTGGAATTGCCTAGTCTCTTTTGCATTGTTGAAAATCAAAGTATCGCATAATTAGTATTGAACTTATTTTGATTGAATTAATCAGGGAATATAATAGTTTAAGTATATTACATTAATTAATAATGATTAACGTATGTCACAGCATATTATACCGGTTTTAAACTCATATTTTTATTCTAAATTTAACGAACTTCCGTCTTACACGATATTTTACCGGCAGTAACATACATCAACTTATCTTGTATATTTTCGGAAAACTTCTTTTTTTTGCATCCCTAAGGCACTTTTGAATTTTTATGAAAAAAAACAATTCGATAGCTTTTCCTTTTTAAAATTAAAGTGCACTTTAAGCAATTTTGTAAATCGTAACCTTTACAACAAAAGTTTTTACTAAAGTTCAGTTATGACGGATAGAAATGTCAAACACAATAATTAACAATCGTTATTTATTTATTACATGTTGTTTATGATTTCGATATTCTTTTGAAATATTAAACAGGTTCAAAAAGAAAATAATGAACCAATAAAATAAAATCCATTCCAGTTTTCAAAAGTAGCCTAACTCTTCATGAAAAAATCGGCATTATAAAATAATATCTGTTTGATATACTCTAATGATTGTGTATGATTGTAATTACTTTACAATCAACTTTCTCGCTTGGAGCATAACATAGGTCGATTCATTAATAGGTAATGTTGCAACTGGGCAACTTAATTACCATGTGTAACAACAATCGACCTGATACTCCGTCACTTCGTTACAGCGCACAGCGCGATATATTTGCAATATGTAGAGTTGTTAGCAATGAATATTGACAATGCTATTGTTACCTGTTCCGAATCAGTTTAGCATGATTTGCAGGCTGATGATGGTTATTAACGTCGTGTGTTTGTGAAATACCAAACTATGTGTTTTAGAATGTATGTGGTTTAAAGCAGTTATGGTAATGCTTAGTTATCCTTTTAAAATAAGTTTATTTGATTTGTGGCAGGATTAAATGAAAACAGTAGTGGTTTTAGCATAACTTAAAAAAATTTATAATTGATTTAATTAGTTTGTATGTTGGACAAGAAACAATTACTACTCTTAGCCTCAAATTGGTTATATTAAGTGTTAACTGCAAGAAAGAATATGTATTAGATAAGGTAATTTTTATTTTATTTAAAAAATGTGTTTGGTATAAAAATATGACACCATCAAATACTATGCTTCTAAATACTAGGTCCATAAAAGATTATGTACATACACACATAAGGTATATAGAACATAATGTACATACGTTACGATCACACTTTTTACTTCTAAATTTTATTACCACTCTAATTACATTCTACACTTTGCGTACACCAATTACAAACTACACAAATTTAATATGACATACATTTAAATATTCTTGGTTAAAGAAACGACAACGCATCAATTTCCTAAAATATAAATGTAGTTTTTGAAATAATACCAGTCAATATTTTCACGCTAATTTTCCCAGTATACAAAAACAAAATCCCCATAATTTTCCCAGTTGAGTTGTTTGACAACTCAACGACCAAATTCAATTTAAATCTGTTAACCTCCAAGGTGTGAGATTTTATTTTTTATTTACGCTCTATACTACTATTTGATGTTAAACTAATTACAATCAGCATTTACTTGGCATTTCAAACGTTATAGACTTGTTTCACACCAGTGTGTGGTGTTCATTGTAAGGTGTGAGGCAGACGCGCGCGTCAACAGCTCAGTATTCACCGTGCTGTCAGGAGGGGAGCATCTACGCGTCACTGTGTCCTCTCTCTACGAGCTTACAAACAGGTAGAACTACAAAGTTGACTATCAGACTGTAACGTAGAGTTATTGAAATAAAACACAATAATTGTCAATAGTAGGAATATTGTGTGATATATTTTTCGAGTGTTGGATATTTTATATTTCGTAAATTAAATTGTACAAACACTTACAATGAAGAAATTCCCTTTAAACATTTACCAGCAAAAGCTTGTAGACTAACTACATTTTTAGGATAAGATGCACAATTGTTTTATATATACAACTATCTATGCTTCTTTTGTCAATGTAATTGTTAAGTACAAAGAGGTTAAAGATTTACATTGTTTAAGAGCGTTGCAAAATTTCGTACAGTATAATAATATTGTAAAAATAAAAAATAAAACTAACGAATAAAAATAATACTTAATTCCTGTCTTCCCCACGTTTAAGAGCTTATAATTTTAACAAGTGGAAAGATAATAGTGAAAGTACGTGGTGAAGACAGGCAGACAGTTCCATTTATGTCTGTTAGTATTTTTATTTCGTACTTAGGTTAGTTCGTCCTTTAGTTTTTTTTTTTACGCACTTAACACAGTTAAACTTTAAACAAGTTAAAAAAGAAAGCTTTAACATTGACGTACTGTACTATTTCTATTTGAATTTAAATCTACTGAAAATTTGATGAAAAATATTATGCTATTGTTGTGATAAACATTTTTATAATTTTAAGTGGTAATGCTGTATAGGTACGTGGAAAATGTGTATCTTATTATTTGTGTTTTACTTCATTTTTGGTGTTTTTTTATGGTTATGTTATTTTTGTTAACATACAAATAGTAGGCCTAGGTAGCTTACCTTAAAGGTACTTCATCTATCAAATAATATATATGACAGTTAATTAAAAATTAAATAAAATGATTTAAAATGAAATTATAGAGCAAACTACCTAACTTTAATGCGTATAATGAATTGATTTAAATGATTAATTATGTTTGTAACGATTGGTTGTTAAAAGTTAATGGAATGCAGAAGGGTTACGAATTTAAACTTTACGATCACATAATAAGTTTTTATATGTGGAAAAGGAAAAATATTTTAATTTAACATTGAATTAAGAAATCTATACATTTTTGATTATAAAGTAATTATCAATAAAACGTTTGAAGTTATAATAAATCCTAACAAAGATTTAACTTTTATCAACGGTTTTGTAATTTATAATAATCACAGAAATGTATACTAATTCATTTTCTTTGAACGTACAGTATAGAAATTACAGGATCCGAGGAGAAATAGCAAACAGCGAGTTTTCAAGAATACATTTCCTAGTAAATTCTGTGATAATTACGTGATCTGGGCAACCAACGATTTATTATTTTTGTATTTCATAATAACACATGTATTGCGTTAGGTAATCAATAATTAATTACAAATTGCATGCTTCTACTGTCCATACTCCTTTACATGCATATGCAAACCATTGCGTCTACACATGGCATTAAAGTTAGCTATTCAAAAAGATATTGGGATTTATGAAAAGCAATCAAGACGAAATACATGTAAGATAGTCTCAAAGATGTGTAACCGTAATTTAATTTTGTTTTACTTCATTGTCAATAATTCTAAAGTTTTTTTTAGGAATTGCATGTATTATGTAAATATACTTTTTATGGCTAAATTTTATCGGCTTTTGATGTAAATTTTACCACTAAAGATACAAATGTTGACCTTTTGATTAAACGGTTTTGTAACAGTTCGGGTTCATCCTGCAACTAAAATCGGTAGCTTTCCTGCGCAATAGCAATTCTATAGTTTGTTTAAAAAAAAAAAAAAATCAACGAGATCAAAGTAAAAAAAAAAACAAAAAACAAAAAAAACAACTGCATTCATTAGGTGAGAGCATAATTGTAATTCCATATACTGTACATAGCATATAAACGTCCCATTACCATACAAAACCTTCTATTGACTATTCATCAGCGATTATACATTTTACTTTTATACGCCGCTTGGTATTATTTCCACATTGAAATTGGTATTTAAAACGCACACTAAAATCTGTAATTCTCAACAAACTAATTACGTTCACGTCGAATTATAATTGTTATAAAATAACAACTAACAATATATAATTCAAACATCATTCAAAAAATGTTAACCCTAAATCAACTGGATGACTTTATCAATAAAATTGGAGGTAATTTAAATGCTACATTTAAGCAAAGACACATGCCTATTATTTTTTTTTTTTTGGTTTTATATTGAAATATTCATGATTTCTTTCACAGGTTCTTTTAAATAAGTTTAGATTCAATATTTGTCAATGCAACTATGCAAATCAACTAAATGGCAATGAAGTGAAAAAAAAGAACATTGATCCCACATTTGAGCTTTTTTGTGGTTCTCACGGTACTTATAATTTGGGTTGCATAAAAAACCTCCCGTATATGATACAGTACCTATTTGAATATTTTGGTACGGCATGGTTATAGCGTTTACGCTTGGTTTAAAGCATCCCTAACTTGGTATAGTCGGTGAGGCTCAAATGATTTTCAAAAAAAGTTAAAAGCACATTTTAAAGTTTTTTTCTTTTTTTTTGTAGGATTTTAATAAAATTTTACAGTGGTAGATGGAAGGCACTTATTGTGAATAGAGTACTTTGCAACAACACGAAGCATTATATGTAATATAAAGAATGAGGGAAGAACAAATTCATCCTCTAAACATAATATAAATTGAGAGTTTTACTACAAAAAACGTTGTACCTAAAAGAGCATAAACACGGCATTGACTTATCAATAAACCACCACTAACCCAGTTCTACCAATCACGGAATGGCTTAACATGGTATTTCCAATTTTAATTCCCATAATTAATAGTTAGTGCGGCATGTAGGATGATCAATAACACAGGATCATATCACCAACAGATGACTTGGACCATACATCATGTTCTCAGCTTACAGCTCATATTGGATCCACTTGGATCACATTTGTAATCCCCAAAATGCCTTAAAATTTCACATAAGATCTGATACCATATTAGCTAACGTTAAAATGTTAAAACCTGATTTAACAAATAAATGATCTAGATTTAATCATAAATTATACATGGTATATGAGTAAAAAACGGGATTTTGTAGAGACAGTTTACACAAAAAATACTGGATGAATTGCATTCAAACGTTAGTATAATTTTGACTTTTGCGAGATTTTTGCACATTTTATCTACGTATTACACAGATACATTTTAGCGAATTTCCCATATAGGGAATAAGCTATTACCGTAGTACTCATGGTAAGACCTGGACCCGGGACCGATTTATTTCTTCATTTTGAGGTCCCTAGAGGCCAAAAACACCATCCGTTCAAATTCATATATATATATATATATATATTTATATATTTATATATTTATATATTTATATATATATATATATGTGTCCGTCAGCACGATAACTCAAGCAAAAATGATCCGATTTTGATGAAATTTGGTACAAACGTGTAAACCTACATTTATTCGAACGAGTTCGCGAACCAGCATGATCGGACTATGGGAACGGGGGTTTATGGGGGGTTTTATGGGGTAAAAATAGGTTTTTCCCATTTTTGACCCTAAAAACACAAAATTTGACACTTTATTTCCAAACCATTTTGAAGAGCTTAAAAAAACAAATAATTTAGTATATTGAAGCGTTATTGTGCGCCTAATGGTTACAGAGAAAATTCCAAAAAATTGTTAATTTAAAATCCCTATGTTATTCTTATGGAGAATAAGTCAACTGTTGTAGTTTACTTGTTTATGAACATATTTTGATCGAATTTGGAAAATATATTCATTTCTTACTAAACTATTAACATAAAAAAACACCTTTTTACCCTCCTTGTTGCAGCAAACCTAAGTACTCGTTAAACTAATTCTATTTAAATAGGGAATAAATATGATATTTTTAAGGAGGCATTTTAATGTGAAATCCTATCAGGCTAATGGAAATTCGCTTAGTCTGCAGGTTTGCTGCGGCGGGGGTATTTATAATTCTGTCAGGACTTGACCACTTGGGCTGTCAATGTCTATATTTTTGAATGTTACTGTATTATCTGGTAACATGAACAAGTCTAATTGACCGAAAAAAATAACAAACAATATGACACAAATTAATTATCCTTATAACTATACTCTTTTTACCTATGCTACTATTCAGCAATGCCTTTGATTGTTGATACTGTATTTAACAAACACAAAAACCCCAAAAGTGATTTAAACAAAGTTCCTTATACATTAGACCAGACTAAGATTTTTGTTGGTAATTTTATTTGGCGTCATTGCCAATAGGGTCATTCAAATAACCTATGGCACAAGCCTTGTTACTTGTTTTGAACTTAACATATTGATTGTATGAACCTAAAGATGCGAGCAACATTTGTCTAAATTTAAGGTAAAAAGTGATTTCCCCGTTTGATCGTTTGCTCCCTTGATCGATCATTAAAGCCTGCGATAATGGGTAAGGATTCCTGTTCAAGTTTAAGGGTCCTTCCCACAATTACAACGCACTCCCCCTCTCTATAGCTTTAATACAAATTCCCATGGTTTAAATTCACTGTTTTATGTATTTCATTTATCCTTCCTCTAACAGTATGCACGTTTACAATTTTTATTAATTCAAATTTAAGCTTTTAGTTTCATCCTTGCAATGAAAAGAATGTACCTATACAGTGTGTTCAAAAAAGGTCATAATTTACGTAGTAATTTCTTGGGACAAAATAAAGAGAAAATCAATTAGCCTATAACTTTTTTTTCCAAACTCGCTTCGTTAACTAAATATCCACCATTTTGTATTTTTTACATAGACATTTTTATCTTTGTTTTTTTCCAACCGATCTTTATGCAGCTTGGTATGTATGTTAGGGTAGAAGAGACTTATATTATAAAAAAATCATCTTGATTCAACTTAAAATTTCAAAATGGCGGCCATTTTTTTTTGCTTAAATGGCTGATTTTAGGAAAAAATTTCAGTAATTAATTTATTTAGCATTTTAAATCCCCTA